GCATTCCTTATCGTGCTGAGGCGATGTGCTACGACGAGGGTGGTTCGGTTTACCATGATTCTGTCAAGAGCCTCCTGTACAATCCTCTCAGATTCTGCATCAAGAGCACTTGTGGCTTCATCTAGAAGTAGAATTTTTGGATCTTTCAGAATTGCTCTGGCTATGGCTACTCTCTGCTTTTGTCCCCCGGATAGCTGAGTTCCATGCTCTCCAACCATCGTGTCCATTCCCTAATGTTTACATATAGCTATCAAAATGTTCATAATCCACAAGCATTTTGTTGTGTGCTGAAACGAGCTTTCGAGAATTAAAAATAGTAAATCCATTTAGGTGTAAAACAAATACCAAACTGGCACTAACCTGGGGAAGTTTATCTATAAATTTAACAGCATTAGCAAGCTCAGCAGCTGCTCTTATCTCTTCATCAGTTGCACCATCCTTGCCATACCCAATATTATCTTTAATGCTTGATGTAAACAAAACTGGTTCCTGGCTCACAAGCCCTATTTTCTGTCTTATCCATTTCAGCTGGATCTCTTTGAGATTAACTCCATCAATCAGGACTTCACCTGATTGAGGGTCATAGAATCTCTCGATCAAGCTGACCACCGTGGATTTTCCGCTCCCACTCTGTCCAACCAAAGCTGCAGTCGTCCCACTCGGTATCAAGAGAGAAAAGCCGCTGAATACCTGTTCATCCGGCCTTGCTGGGTAACTAAAAGAAACATCCCTTAGCTCTATGTCACCATGAATATCCTCTAATATCCTCCCACTGGTGTCATAAGCATCTATCTGTGGCTTCCGGTTAATTGCATCGAACATCTTAAAGGCGGCTGCTCTACCGGCAGCAAACGCCGTAATGCATGGTGATGCCTGTCCAAGAGACCTGAAAAAAGAATGAAGAAAATGAGAATATCAAATTTCATTAGTGTGGAGTATGGAAGGAAGGTAAAGTATTTGGAGTGAAAAAAGCCTACATGGAGCCAGTGAGCACAGCAAAAATGATATTAATGACATCTCCTCCAGTATAGCCTTTCTCAATTATCATTTTTGCACCAACCCAAACAGCCAAACCATAGCTGCTGAACACAATTAACATAACAACACCAATTCCCAATCCACTAGCCAACCCCTCTTGCACCCCAGAGTTGTAAGCTTCTGCCAATGACTTGTTGTACTCGTCTATTGCTACCTTCTCCCCTGTGAATGAAGCAACCTGAGCACGTAGTTAACCTCTTATTTTTTTATTCTTTATTATTTACACCCAAAAAAAAAATAGAAGAAAAAAGTAATGGTTCCAACTATGATCCTAACTTTCTAATACTAACTTGCACGATAAATAATTGGCATCATTGTCTTGGTAAGTGACAATTTTTTATCATTGACAACTCACTTGTCATGTCAGTTGATATCAAAAAGTTGAGATAAGGGTTGAGACCCCTAGCATTTTTTTTTTTTAAAAGAAAGAAAAAAAAAAAGAAAAGAGAATAAGCTGAGGAGATTATTTGCAAAGTACACATACGGTTCTGATTGAACCTATAGTTTGCTCCACCACGACTGCAGCCAGCGAATAGGCAGTTTGTCCGCGGGTCGAGAGCTTTGCTATAGTGATGCTAATGACTGCACCGGAGATAATAAGAGCAGGGATTGCGGATAGCATGACAAGTGTGAGAAGCCATCCCTTGATTAATGCCACGACGAAGCCTCCGAGGAATGTCGCGACTAATTGAATGAACTTTCCTACCTGCAATTCCAAAATCAAAGAAAAGTGGCAATCAACACTAGAAACCTTAGATTGGATTGGAACAAACAAATGAGGGCTTTCATTGGTTGATGAAATGATACCTTCTCACCCATTGCATCTTGAATAAGCACAGTGTCTCCTGACATTCTCTCAATGACTTCTCCAGTGTTGGTCTCCATATCAAAGAATCCAATGTCTTGCCTCAATATTGTTTTTAAGTATATACTTCTTATTCTCGCTGACTGTCTTTCCCCTGTGACCATCCAGCAAGCCACCTCTGCCACATTCCCCAATAAAACATGGGATTGCTTAACTTGAAGGGACATATGTGTTGTAATTTTTATTTATCATTTCCTTTTTTGTATGTAAAGTTTCTGTAAAATTTCTTATATTTTCATATTCCACTGCATATTTTTTTTCTAAATTTGTCTTAAATCGAGGGAGGATTAGATGTACTACTTACGTAAAAGTGCACAAGTAGCAGACCCCAACGCCAAGTACACGTAATATAGACAAACCTGATATGATGCCAAATTAAAATTGATCGAGTCAGTACTTGTCAAATGCACAATCATTGTCTGATTAGAAGTATATATTGTGGTTGAGTATATCAATTATTTAAACACGGTTAAAGATTGCAAATAGAGAGAGTTGTTAAATGTACTAATTTTTCGCAAGTTGATTCTTTTTCCTCCCATTTTGCAAGTGGAATCAAGTTGTAATAATAACTAGCATCACCGTTGGTAAGGAAAAAAAAAAAAAAAAGGTTACCTCGGAAACATTAGGAAGAACTTCTTTGGTGTTCACAGATTCTCCAAATGAATCGACCATAGTTCCAAAGATAACCGTCATAAGCGGAAGACTGATTCCATTTCCAACGGCGCCAACCGCACCAACGAGCATTAGCAAGTAATCCATAGAGTCAGCAAAGGAGAAGAGCTTCTGAAATGGCACTGTACTAGTTGTGCCGCTCTCTTCGTTCCCTCTGCCTCTGCTTGTATCTTCTTTCTTGTCAGTCCTTTCTTCATCTTTCTCGCCATCTGGTGCCGCCACGTGAGTGCTCGATGAAGCTGCATCCTCCGTCTTAACATCTTCATCCAAAAATTTTTCCTCAGCCATGTTTAATGGGATCAAAGCTGCATGAGAAACATCATGGCTGGTTTGCATTAGCAACTGATCATTACAAAAGGCTAGATCAAGACTAAAAAATAGTTGCAACAGAAAATGATAAAAACATATCAAGCAAGAAAACCATACATTTATTGTTGAGAAGAAACCGAATGATACAAAATAACTCAAATATGAAGGCTATAGGAGCTGATAATAATATGAATATGAAAGGTTAAAGAATCTTCACACAAGCCGGCATGAAAGTGCACAAATGATATGTATTTTGTCTTGTCATGGGAAGGTATAAAATGTGACATAAAGCTGTACTATATTCATATAGAAAATATATAGTTCAAAAGAATCAATAAATGCGAAATAAATAAATGGATAAAAGTTTCGTCATGCATATTGATTTTTCCGTACGGGCACTCAACATAAAAGAAGAACGAGAATATAAACTTTACAACCTCAAAAGCAGAAAAAACAGATAACTGATATGAAAAAAAAAAAGAGGGAAGTTTCCAGCTAATAAGAAGTTAAGAACCCCCCCAAAAAGTGGAAAAAGAAAACGCAGCTTTTAAAGTACCTCAAGAAGAAAACATTAAAATTGGAGATTAATTTCAACAGGGTTTTTACCATCTGTTCTTCAGAATTATTTAGTGTTTTTTTTTTCCCTCCTTTTTTTGCGACTAATAGAGGTCAAATGTCAACTTGCCTTGCCCCACCAATTACAGATAGTTTAAACAAGAGAAATCTGAAAGCTCAGTATTTGGAAGATAGACAAGACAAGAGAGAGCTCCACAAAACGAACCTCGTCATATTGGTTGTCATGTAGTGAATTTATATGTTTCACAAACTGCCATATGTCTACATCTTCTTACTTACTATCCGTCCTCTTATTTTGTTGGCATTCTTATTGGTGTTTTCTTAATGTCAGTTATCTTTCATGATCTAAACCTTTGGCAAGTTTATGATTTTTTTTTCCCACCAGAATCTGCTTCTGGCAAGATCAGGCAAATCATCCATTATAACTGATTCGTTGTTGCTTTTCGAGGCCCTGAAAATTTTTTGCACATAACACGATATAAATAGTGTATAGTACTGTTTGGTAAAATTGCATACAAATATTTTGCAGTTTGCATATATAGACACTAACGCACTTGTATAATAGTTATTTTGAGAAGCCAGATGGTCTAAGTTTTCAATCCTACTTCTGCTTCTCCTCTTACTATGAGTAAATTTATTTATTTATTTATTTATTTTTTAAAGAATGCAATCCTAAACTATCTAAGCAGGGAATTTTTTTATTATTATTTTTTTGTTTTTTTTGGGTGGTTTTTGCTATATATGTGTGTATATGTGACGACCCTGCTGAGTTGGTCGTTACTGAACTAACTTTTACATATAATTTCTTAAACTCCCAAAATTTGAGATTTTTTTTAAATGCTACCTAAAATGCTGTATGAATGCTGTAACATTTTTTTTAAATGTTATATTAAATGCTGTAGTATCTTCCTGAAATGCTGTGGTATTTTCCTTAATATGCTGTATAGAATACTGTAACATTCTGAGCATAAGTTTCTTTCTCTTAAAGAACTATATATATATATATTTATATATTTAAAACTTATTATAACGACATAAATTCTATCAGTTTACACAAACTTAGCATTATACTACAAACTTTCAAAATACAAGTTCATAGACATACTCATCATAAAACTTGATACATAATTTAAGAATATTGATATTAATTCTATAAATCCTGCAGTCACAAAATATGACAGTAAGTTACTGAAGAAAATCCTTGACTTAAATAATTAAATTTATATTATTTAATTCTAAGATTTTCTAGTATTATAAGAGTTATCATTCGATCACTTACGTATACACACGTAGGGTGATGAATGAACAGCAGTGGAGTCATTAATTGATAATTAAATAGGGGTGTTGGGAGGAAAGACGTATGGTTTTGTTAGTGGGGGCTGCGGAAAAGAGAAGAGTGAAGTGCAAATGGGACAATAGTTTAGAGAGAGAGAGAGAGAGAGAGAGATGATATTAGTAGTATATATTTGGTATATGTTAAGATATAAGAATATCATGTATGTATTCATAATTAGGACATTGTACGAAGTCGCAAGCAATGATGGCAGCAAATTTGGAGATTGCAAGATTGGTTGGGTACGTACTATGTTTACGACAGATTCTTTTTTCTCCAATAATTAATTCTACGTTCATGAGTTCCATTAAATTAATTTACATTTCGTTTTTATAGTATAATATGATGCTAATATGCACGCCTCTAGTCTAGATCGTTGCATACTGAAAAAACATTCATCTCCTAATTTAAAAGAAGGCCACGCCAGTGAAGCCAAACTAATTGGGTGCATGTCCTTTAATTTGTTGATTTTTTTTTTTCTGTAGCATGAATATTGAATAATTAGCAGTTTTAAAATTGTTTTGTTACTAGCTAATTTGTTGTACGGTTATCTTCCCCTCCTACCTCTAATAAGCAATAAGTTAATAACCCTCTAAAATTCGGAACCCCAAAACTTTTGTTATATGCTCTTGTCTTATTGCCACCTGTCCCCCTAATATATAACATTTGTTTTCTTAATTTCCTTCTTTCTGTCTTCTAAACCATTATTTATTGTATAAAAACATATAATAATAATAATAATAATAATTTAATTTGTCCTTGGTTCAGCGCTATAATAGTTTCCTTGTGAATCAAGGCAATAGCTTTGCCTCAACAGTGTTCTCAAGTATAAAACTTGCAGAGGCTTTCCATATCCTTTTGTAATGATATTAATGTAATCATCCACACTTCCAATGCATGACAATATGACATGATAGTTGATACAGCTAATTAACCAACATGCATGGCCATCTTTTCTATTACCTTTACTTCACAATCATTATCTTAATTATGAGTTTCGATACTTTCAAGATTAGATCTTTCTTATTCACTATACAAATCACAAATCACGTGGCAAAGCATAATTATTGGATCCCATTCAGGCTTTCCCGTTAGCCCGTGTGTAGTTCCATTCTTTTCAAGAACAACTTTCTTCTTTTTTTTTTTTTTTCCCCCTCCTATTTAATAAGGGTTTCTTTGCAGTTCCATCTTTAGTGGCCTATAATTGCAGCTTGATTGGTGCCACTATGATATAGCGAGAGCGCATTTCGAGGAAGACGAGAACATGGAAACCAAAAACAAAATGCTAGGGATATAGGCATCAAACTTTTTTGATTTGCTCACAAATAAGAAAACAATGGAAAATAAGATTATAACTCAATCTTAATAACCAAAAAGACTAAAATTTCATTCATTTTACTGATTCGAATTTAGAATTCGAGTTTTGCTACAGTTAAAAGCTTTTAAAAACAGTCACATTTAACTTTTTTGCTACAGTAAAAAATTCTCTCATAAAATCACATCTCAACTCAAATTAAAAACTCGAATATGCGAACTAAACGAGCCCTAAAATTTCATTCCTATGGAGATCCATACAGGTTAAAGGAGACTATATATTATTTAGTGGGTGGTGAGATTATTCGTTTTCTTCTATAAGGTCTTGTGCTTTAATAGTTCCACTTGTTGAATAAAGTATGTGGAATATCCACTTCGCTAAAGATTCACATGCTACGTGGAGATGTGTTGTCTTTATGAAATTATCTAAGTATGCCACATCCTATTCTTATAATCTTTTTTATTCTAAAAAATACAAGCCAAAATGGAAAAAATAAAAAGCCAAACAACCTTTTTTTTGACACAAAAATATTGAAACTACAAAATTTACACCCCCCTCCCAAAACCCAAAAAAAAAAATAATAATAACATTTTCATGTAAAAGTACACATATATTGCTATTAAGTGACGACAAACAGAATTGAAACTATACTTAAAAGTATTGAAACTACAGAATTCACCCAAAAAGAGAGATTTTCATCTAAATGCAGATATTGCTACTATTTGACACAAGGATCAAGCGACAAAAGAGAGCGTTGCAACAAAAATCTCTTAAGGCCAAAGTGGTTATTAGAAAAAATGGAGAGTGATTATTAGAAAAAATAGAGAATATACTTTGAGAGTGTACGAGTCTCAATTTTTACTATTTATTTTTAATAAATACCATTTTGTTAGTGTAATTATTTGATTAAAAAGAGTTATGAATTAAGACCAAATGATAAAAATCATGACCCATGTACTTTTAAAATGTATTTGTCCAGACGACACAAAAATTACAAAACATTATTTTTCATAAACCAAAAGGTCCTCTCATGGCCCAAGTGTGGGAGCTTTCCCAGAAGACCTGCAGCGCTGCTCGTTTTTGTTTGGAAGATGCACTCAATTCATCTAAATTCGACACCATTAACGACTGTGTTTTAAAAGTTGAGTTGTCATGGAAAAATTATAGGATTTTTCTCTTCATTTTTTATTAATACTCTTTTATTACTATAGTTATTTGTGTTGGAAAAATGGCTTGTTAAGCCATTTTAAAGGCCCATTTTGAGGCCCAAATTTGGATGGGATCCAATAGGTTTTTAGGACGGGTCTTGATGGATTTGCATTCTCCGTCGCGAGGAGATCGAAATCGAGTATTCATACACTCAAAATGGTTTTTGGGTGAATGAGAAATTGATGGTCTAAGTATGGTACTTGGATGGTAAATGAAGAAGGAAAATTGCAAAAAATCCCACAATGAAAAGCCTGATAAATTCAATGGGTTGAATTTTAAAACTTGGCAACAAAAAATGTTGTTTTATTTAACAACATTGAATCTTGCGAGATTCTTGAAAGAGGATCCTCCTATTGTTAG